AGGGGACATGGTACAGAGCAAACAAAGAGAGAGAGAGAGAGAAATGGGGTTTAACGTCCACTCGACACAAACTAGGTCATTTCGGGACTAACATATGGTTTAATTTTATTTACGTAATTCGCTTGCGCGTAGGGGTCTTTAGCAGTGGGAGGAAACCGGAGGACCCGGAGAAAACCCACGAGGTTTGAAACAAAGAGAGAAAACCCAAATGACAGTCAAGTAAGAAAATATAATAGTATACATAGCTCCCAACAGGGGAGATACACATATAAGTACCTTATGCACTAAGGCTTCATGCCGAAAAAAAAACGGCTCATGAGAACATTATTATAAATCATGAAAGGAGATAAATCCACTTAACTCTTAATGTTACAGAAAACCCACGAGGTTTGAAACAAAGAGAGAAAACCCAAATGACAGTCAAGTAAGAAAATATAATAGTATACATAGCTCCCAACAGGGGAGATACACATATAAGTACCTTATGCACTAAGGCTTCATGCCGAAAAAAAAACGGCTCATGAGAACATTATTATAAATCATGAAAGGAGATAAATCCACTTAACTCTTAATGTTACAGATCAATATTAAGCATTACAGAACAGCTGTATTCATCCGCAAAAAAAATAGTACCTAAAATTCATGTACATTATATAGGTTTAAACGTCAAATGAGGTCAAATGTATAGAGACGTCTTTAATATATACTAAATATTCGTATCATCCCAAATCGACAATAAAACAGTGAGAAAAAGGAAAATCTAAGTAATGGCATCTAATTAACATAAAATTTACGACATAATGGATTCTTCAATGTTTTGATGGTGATCATGAAGAAAATAGGCCTACATCTGTTCTCAGGAATCCGATAAGATTTTCAAAAAAAGATCAGTAGAATTATAGATTGTTATTCCACAAAGTCGAAAGGTATGTTAGATTTTTCATTCAGTCAAGTTAGAGCGAGTTTATTGCCGTACTTTGAGCTCCAAACCCGATAGAAATGAAGGCGGAAGTGGCCATAATAGTTTTAGAGATCACTACGTGATGGCGCTCCTGCGTCGCGACAAACGGGGCCGATTTGTCTAGCCTAAAATGTAGGACCTCTGTTGGGCGTCTCGAGGGAGGGGGGGGGGTCCTTGTCTGGCAGAGCCTGTTAAGCTTTCAATGAAATGTACCTGTTTATTTCATGTGGTTCACATGTTTGATCTAGCCCAAAATGTAGATTCTACATTGTAGAACCTCTGTTGGGCCAATCATTGTGTCCTGACAATTTGTCTGACATGGGGTATTTTATACTAAGTACAGTTTAATTGTTGATTTTAACTTCGTTACATGTGGTAACTCCAATGTAATGTTTAATCTAGCCAAAAATATGGGACCCTTATGGGGTGTCTGGGTGGCGGGCTTATGCCGAGGAAAATTGGTCTAGCGAAATCTGTTTTGTGCTCAATGAGATATACCTGTTCATTTCAGGTTGATTCCTTGTGATATCCCAAATGTTTTATCAAGCTCATTTCCAGCACAATTTTTACGCGGTCTAACATTTGGGGGTGTCTGGCGGGGTTTTTATAGCAGAAAGTTTGTCTGGCAGTGGGTATTTTATACTCAGTAGAGTTTAATTGTTATGCAGAGGAAAACTGTTCTGGCAAACTGTTTTACACTAAATGAGATGTACCTGTTCATTTCAAGTTTATTTCATGCGGTATCCCTAATGTTTATGGGCCAGGTTAAATGGTACCTTATTCGTTTGACCGCTGATATATATTGTGATTCTTTTGTAAGTACTTATACAATGACCCGAAGAAAAAATCAACATCGCAAGGAGAAAACCCCTGACCGTTTGGTTAACTTAGTTTTTCTTGAAACTAACAACCGTTGAAGTGATAATTTAGATTTAATCTTACCGACAAGGTTTCTTATTGTTCGTCGTCCATGTCTCGCTTTCAAATGTCCTTCAAAATCTAAGATAAGAAAACTCGCGTAAATCTTTTTATGGTACATATTGTAAGTCAGTAGTTGATTTAAACGTGTTCTGTTTACTACTTAAATCTAGTCAGATTTTGTTATCTATTGTTCCTTGCCTGATTGGAATCTGAAGATTGTTATCTTTCGAAATACATATACATGAAAAGAAAGCATTTTTGACTTTCTTTTAATTTCAATATCGCTTAATTTATTGTGGGAAGGCAATACTATACATGTAGATAGAGATAATAGGCCTAAGAAACCGTACCATGCAATAGAGCTAAAGCGGATAAAGGATTTTTCAAAATGGGTGGGAGAGACGTGGATGTAAAAAGCCAATTCCCAAATTCTTGCCTAGCGTAGGAACTAACAATGTTTTGCAAGTTTTCAGGATGTTTTTTTTTCAGGAATTGTTGTGGACTTTTTCTAGTGATTGGTCCGAGAAATGAACCACGGCATTGTCGATTCTTATATCCGTTGGCACATTATAGTTGGGTTGGTGTCAGTGGCGTAGCTATGATTTCTCAACTAAATTTTCCGACATAGAGATGTTAGAAAAGAAAGATAACCGTGCTGACCAGGAACCAATAAACGAGCTCTTTAAAACTATATTAATACAAACATTTTTTTTTTAGGTTTTTACATTATAAAGGAAGTAATTGTATCTTCTGAGCTTTTAGAACAATTTATGTAATATATTGGCAACTATGTATTAAGATAATGTCATATTACTTGTGTTCTAACCTGTCGAGCAAAGCTTTATATAAGATAAGGCAATTGAACTTCTACGAAGCTTGATATATGTATATATATATGTTACTGAAAAATATGGATACTGTAAGTTAATATAAAATCGAAAAATAATTGATGAGAACAATATGATGGTATTCACCTAATCAACTCATTATCAATGACTGCTCAAGAGGCTTATCTATTAAACCTATTCGAAATTTTAATTCAGCCTACTGTTGGCATTTGGTTATTACTTGTAATTGTAATCTATTTAACAAAACATGCTTTGAAATAAACCATTCGCCTACAAATCAGCATATTCCTGAAGCAATGGCCCGAGAAATCCCCCTCTGGCCATTGCTGGATTGGCTTCTGATACTTGAGCTCTTGAGAGAGAGAGAGAGAGAGAGAGAGATAGAGTCTATTCTTCCAGTTCAATCAAAATCTATCCCAAGCACAGCAACATGAGAACCCTTCGTTTAATCTGGGGTCTTCCTTAAAACTTTGGACAGTGATTTAAGGTATTAAAACCGGTGAAAGTATTGTTGTCTCCAAACAGTTTTGTTTACATTGTAACCGTTTTAATAGCCTCGTTTGTCAAGCAATTACTTTTTCTACAATATTCTGCTATGCACTGGTTAATTGGGCGTAATAAAATCATGAGTCATGACGTAACGTTATGTAAACATATTTGGTCCAATTTGGAGCTCTGTATAAAGGCTCTGTTTAAAGCGTAATGATATTGTTACACAGTTAGGTATTGGTTGTTAATCGGACTATTGACGAGTCATAATTTGGAACAGAAATTTGCTTCCATTGCAGCAGTGTTAAGTGGAATTAGCTCTGCAAGGAGTATGCCTAACCATGTGATCAAGAAATAACAACCGCTCCGCAGTCAAGCTAGCATACAATAAGCTGCCATGGCAGACCACAGTTAGGTTGCCAGTTGGTGATACCCTGACATTTTTTACCAGTGCTTGCCCCATGGGTGTGTTTCGGGTAATCCAGTATTTTTTTAAAGTATGATTGGGTGTCTGTACTTTCCATATATATATCAAATTTGCCATACTTTTATTGGAAATAACCACCCGATAAATACTGTCGGGACAATGTATCTTTAAGCCATCAAAAGATTGAATCAATTATATATACAACACGCATCCGGTGTTAAAAGAAATGGAGTAATATTGTCAGTGGCGTACAGGGGACTGCATCCAGTCTAAGAGTTTAATTACAATTGCTTTTTTTTAAATTTAAAATTATTCCTTTTAGTTTCGTCACGAAAGCTGGTATGAACGTAGATCAGTGTTTTAATAAGCCAGACTAGGGTAAATGGAGTACTTTTCTGACATGAGATCGTTTTTGGGGCACCGAACGTCACTGAACTAAATTTAATTTAAATAAAAATGTAATTTCTTCTATTTTTGCATATCTAAATTGGATGACAGAGATTCTAATTCAGTTTTGAAAGTATGACGCTCATTATCTGAAGTCCACAATCGGGAAGACCATTTTAATTCTTGGCTATTGCATTCGATAGAGTCCCTTTTACACCCAAAAGGGCCCCGTGGGAATTTTTACTTTAGCTTGAACATTTTGTTTATAGTGTCACCAGTTTGTCAGAAAATGTGAGATCATTTATTCTTACTTAACTCGTCCATAATATAATTGCACCAAATCGAATCTATTTTTTTCAAATTTTTCTGTTGGCTTTGTGCCGCACTGGGCCCTAAGCCTTGATTCTTAATTCAACGACCCCCACCCCCACCTTACCCAAACGCCGCCAATTGTTGTCTAGTTTAGGACCCCAAGGTTAAGCTGCCCCTGTTTTCCAGCTGTGTTTACAATTTGCAACGGAGGCAGTAGTTGGCGTTGTTAGCTGTAAAAGCACGTCGGAACAATTGTTTTCACTCTTATTCCAACGCCCATCCCTAAGAGCTATATATTTGTCGATGTAATATAGGTTTAGACATCAGGATTGAAATACTAAGTGGTTTAAACACTGGGATATTGGTAGATATAAGTTTTACATAGAGGATATCTTGAAGATTAGGATGACCGCTATAATATATTTGAATGAAGTGGTGCCGGGAAAATAAGTGGCGGTTCTGTCGACATCGACTCACTGAGCCGTTTTGCTAATTTACCGATAACTTTTTGAAAAATGGGGTAATATTTTTAATTATGTTAATTCTACTATAGAGCTTGAAATAAATAATATAATATTTCAACTTTAAGGTCACCATATTCGACAACCCTATCTTTAATGCAACATATCTTAGGTTACAAAGAGAAAACATAGATTTAATGTTTTATAGTTTGATTTATTTTGTCTTGTATTAATCTTCTAAGAGGAATTCGACTAGAATTAGAATTCATGTATGTAATTGCCAAAACCTGACAATTTAAAATCTCATGAAATGGATCAGTATAATAAATACAGGAACCCCCACAATGTTCACAAGTGTGGGCTGTTTTATTAGAACCGCTAGAATTCGTATTTTCATTATTAGACTTGCCCAACAACGTAAATGACTTATGATCCACTCCACCAAAGCTTACATTTCTTTCTTTTTTCTGAATATCTTCTGAATACACTTCGCTTAAGCAAGAACATACACTGAGCTCGGATTTACCGATCAATGACTGGCGTTTTTCATGTGAGACTTTGGGTTTCTGTTTTTTGGCACGGTTGAAGAGGGATTGCAGTAATGATGGTCCACGGGTATCTTTCGGTTTAGACACTGGAACCTCTGGTACCGCTGGATCAGTATCTAAGTAACTATCATCGAATATTGAACCCCGGCGAACCTCCTTAACTTTCTCTTCTATCGCGTCCTCCAACTTTGCCTCTCTTTGTTCAATCATCTTTTCATCATCAGCCGATTCTTCAAAAAGCGATTTTCTTCTTGAACCGTCACCGGATTGCAGTAATGATGGTCTATGGGTATCTTTCGATTTAGACACTGGAACCTCTGATACAGCTGGATCAGTATCTAAGTAACTATCATCGAATATTGAACCCCGGCGAACCTCCTTAACTTTCTCTTCTATCGCGTCCTCCATCTTTGCCTCTCTTTGTTCAATCATCTTTTCATCATCAGCCGATTCTTCAAAAAGCGATTTTCGTCTTGAACCGTCATCGATGGAGATTGATTTATGGCGCGTTGTATAATATTGTGAATCGTTTTCATCTTCTATAGATTCTTTGATTTCTAGCGTGGGCGTCAATGACTGGCGTTTTTCAGGTGAGGCTTCATCGTCTATAGATTCTTCTATTTGTAGTTTGCCTCTCGAGTTTATGGTAGGAATACTTGTGGTTGGCGTCTTCTGGACGTTTACTTCCTCTGTCATCGGCAGTTCTCCCCAGCTCCTTGGTCTAGCAATTCCATCTGGAATACTTATACTATCTTCATCTGGCGAGTTCTTAATTTCCCGCTTCGATTTCTTCTTTTTCTGCAGCTTCTCTTTTGATTTCAATTCCTTGGCGCTAGCTGTCGGGATGGTTTCGATCGTCTCTTTCGATTCATTCATTCCGGTTATTTTTTCATCATCGGTTTGGGTATGCTTATCTATCGATTCTTTCCTTTCTATCTTTAGCATCTTTTGTTTTAACTTTAAAACCTTCTGTTTGTTTTCCGTTTTATTTTTTTCCTTATCTGTCGCCTTTTTCTTCACTCCCTGGCCCTTCGTTTGTTTTTCTTGTAACTTTGAAACTTTCTGCTGCTCATCTTCCGTTTTAGATTTTTTTCGCGAAAAAAATTTTCGTTTTTTGTCTTTCTTGTTTTCTTGATTTGTCACCGATGTATCTTGCGTTGAAATTTTACTTTCGTTACCCGGTAACGATTGTTTCGTGGACTTAACGTCCTCTTTAACGACATCATAACTTTTAACAAGTTCTAAATTTAATCTAGTGTCGCAGTTCCCTGAGGTTACAATGTTTATCGCCTCTTGTAGAATTGTATTAGAAAAGTCATTAGCTACTTCAGTCTGTTCTTTAATAGTTTGATCTAAAGAAGTTTCTTCTTTCGGCTCTGGAGATACAGGAACGCCAGAGGCTCGACGATCGGCAATCTGAAGACCTGTGCTAGCAGATGAATTTTCTTTATCGAGGCGAATATTGGAGACTTTTCCTGCGCTTGTTTTAATCTTCAAAAGAGATGAAGACAACGATAGTTTAAGTTGCTGTAATTTCGTCCCCGACCTCTTTAATTTGGTCGTCTTCGCATTCGCTGCTCTCTGAAATCTATTTGCTTCAGGACGTATGCCCCATAGGTGAAGAATTAAATGATGAAGTATAGGTAATCTGGTTTTACCTTTTTTCTGTTCTATATGGTGTTGAATATAACATTTCTCTTCTAAGACAAGTTTAGATATCTCACTGAGTTTTCTGAAATATAAACAAAAGATGCCCATCCTTTGTGTTTCATTACTAATATACTTGAAACTGGGGGGGGGGGGGGCTAACGCATGCACGTTGCATTATAAGGTCTGTTATTAAGTCAAGTTGTGTGGTTTCGATTCCCCAGTGTCGCCTGTCCACCATCGTGAGTTTTCTCAGGGTCCTCCGTTTTCCTTCCACTGCTAAAGAACCCTAGGCGCAAGCGAATTATTGAAATTAAATTGAAACATATGTTAGTCCCGAAATGACATAGTTTGTGTTGAGTGAACGTTAAACCCCATTTCTATCTATCTCTACTTGAAACTACATAATATATCAATTTTACCTGATCATGTAAATTGTCATAGATTTAAGGACCCTTTTTAATGTCAATGTTATAACCTTAGATCTTTCTGTAAAAGACCCAAAGTAAAAACGAAACATAAATACCAAATAAACCCCAAAACACTCTTCTTTTATCTTGTCAGAGAATCCCAAATTAAATAAATAAATGAATAAATAAAGAAAATAAAAACATCATTGTCTTAGTTGTCTTTCATATTAACTTACTTATATTCCTTCGGTGATTTCTGGTTTAGATACCACCAGTCGTTATCTAGTATATACACTTGAGGTGAATGAAGACCAAAGAGTACTGCTTGACAAGTCTGATAATCGTTGAAAGCAAGACATAATTCAGCAACCTGTTGATAGATAACGGCGGCTTTAAATGGTGGCTATTAGAGTTAACGAACGTGATTTGCGCAAAAATCATTTTAACTGTCAGATATACTGGTATACAGTACATAGCTGAAATGTATTTGAGTTGGTATGCCCCGCTGTACAATATTCTCCAATATTATACGTGATTCAGCTATAATATATGCAACCAATATTTCTTATTACGTTTGTTGCCATTAAATGCATAGCCTACAGCCATGGTTTTCTGTCAATATCGAACATCGAACTAATTCTAGCCTCTTGGATATTTTTTGTTTACTTGACCGCAGACAGGTCTCACCACGTGAGGACTATTTTAATGGAAATGATTTTCCACCTTTCCGCCAGCATCATGTCCGAGTGTAAATTTAAACACGTCAGATATTACGGTATTTACTGTGGGGTGCACTAGCACCTCCCTTACCTCCCCCCACCCACACAACCACATACGTCGAGACGCACACACACACCTATCCTAATGATATACCTATATACCTACCTTTATGTAGAATAATATTGTTTGATATTTGCTTTGTGGTGTTGTTTTAGAAGAAATATCATTTGATATCATCAGAGACAGCTTGTTAAAATGTGTTAATAATACATCTACACTATGTGCGATCTGAAAAATTACCAGAGTGCATGGTACTCTATTGAATACTGATACTAAAAATTCGAATAATTGAAGCACGCACAAAAAGGCTCTTTAGACAATACAGAATAAAAGAGAGAGATAAATGGGATTTAACGTTCACTCGACACAAACTAGGTCATTTCGGGACTAACATATGGTTCAATTTCAATACAGAATAAGATAAGGGTTTAGGATAAAGCTATGTTCACTCACTAGACGTTTTTGTAAGCCTCGTCGAATTGACTGGAGCTCCTGGAGCCACCATAAACTTGATTAGAGTCTAAATATCATTTGTCTATAATGTGCATCCTCTAAATACATCTTGTTTACAGCGACAAAAAGATGGCAGTTGTATAGCATTCAAACTTAAGATTTAATTAAGTAATGTCGCGGTGACAATAGGCCCTCACATCAGCCATTTTCCCGAAAGGAAAACTTTGATGTTGATCAAATTTAATAAGGAACTGCATTGTTAACCGTTAACAAGGTTTACAAAAATTATGGATATCAATAGGGTTCGTTCTCTTAAGACCTCCACTATTCAAAACAAGTTTGGAGAAAAACAAACGTTCAAAACTAAGGCCTCTATCGCTTTATCAAGAAAGATAAATCCCTTAAAAACTGTAGCCCCTACTGCGTTAACTAGCCAATTTTTGTCGGATGGACAGACAGACAGACTGACATGTGTTACGACATAATACACCCACACTTAAATGTGTGCCGATAAAGAGTTATACCAAACTCTTAGAATGTGCATGATACGAAGACGTGTAAGTCATACTTATCAAACAAGCAAGATTGATTTAACTTTAAAAAAAAAACATGTACCTTTTTCATCTGTTTTAATGGATATATTATTACCTGTTTATTATAAAGTGAAGTGAAATCACTATAAGAAATTTTAACAACCAGTTCTGATGACATTAATAATAATTCTGTTGCTACCGCTAATGCCGTAAAATGATCGATTTCGGTTATTCTGTATATAAGAAAAAATGAAAACAAATAATTGTTTTTGATAATAACAACTATAAACTGGTTTCTCTAGAATCTCCGTCTTCATTAGTCCTGTCGGTGCAGAACAGTAAGACGTTAACCCACATTTAATTTCATTTCTATAGAATCTTGTAAATTTAAGAGATTGTAAACTATGTTATCTATACTCGCACACTTTTACAGGCAGTGTAATCTTTCTTGATTGTGTTCCCTATATACTAGTGAACGCTGATTACAATATTTACAAGCACATAGTTGGGTCATATGCAGTCATGTAAAGCTTTTTATTGCTTCCAAGATCTTCTCTATTTATAGCAGTTCTCTCTTTCTCATTTTCATGCTTTTTGTATGCCAATTTTCATTTACCATTTTAAATTTATTAATGATGAATTAACAGTTTCCTCTAGATAGTTCTCCTTGCGATCTCGGTATTCCTAAATATTCCTAAATCAATGGTGAGACCTTATTTCAACAATCGAGTTAACTCCCCTTAAATGCTTTACGTATCAGAAAGCCAATTTTCATTTCCTATTTTAAATGTATTGATGAGGCATTAACAGTGTCCTCTATATAGTTAATCTTGGTCCTGGAATTAAATATAAGTTAATTATCGTTCAGAGAGAAAAAAATGTAGGGGGCATGGACTCAAAGGAAAAGAATAGGCAATTTATATTGGCATAACATCCGTTAGGATTGATTATGTGAGTAATATCGGGCCAACCTGCATTGGATGTTTACTATTTAGATTGTGTAATGTCTGGAGGTCTTTAGTTTGAGTTTTAATCTAGAATATTGAGCCTTTAGGCCTTACCTTTTCTTAGGTCCACATTTCTCAAACACGGCTTCTATTACCACTTTTTCGAAAGCTGACATCTCGACTGTTTTCCTTAGTTTTTTTTGTACTACTAACCATTTATTTTTTGCTGGTTTAGGATCTAGGATATAAAATATGAAAAAAAAAAAAATAATAATAATAAAAAAAATATGAAAAATTCTCCAAACAATATTCTGTCAACTTGTATGTAAGAGTTATGGCTTATTTTAATGGTGTATCTTTCACCTTCACCTTTCACAAGTTCTCGACAGAAGATCTATAATCAGTTGATCCCAGAGGAGAACTTTGAAAGATCATAAGATATGAAGACTAGAGCCGTATTGAGTCGTAACTAGCTCAGAGCAACGGGGAGGGGGGGGGACGTAGATCCCCTAAAACCTGTCTAAAACCTGAGAACTCGACCCATCTCCATGTCACTATAAAATTACCAGATATAAACATGTATAAGGATAAAAATATATATTTTGTAAGATAATATTAATGTTTGTTACCTAGTTTGGGCTCTGGTTTATAATCCTCTACAATATCACTTATACTCACATTAGAATCAGATTCATCTAAACCATTCGCATTGCATCTGAAAGCAAATATACATGGACTGAAATAATATGAGGCAGAGAGAGAGAGAGAGAGAGAGAGAGAGAGGTACCAGTACAGTGTACCGTGTGATTACTTCTACTGGCGAATGGCCTTTGGGTATCTTTTATACAGGTCCAGACTGTCTCTCCATAAGCTATTAGTGATTAGTGATATGATATAGTGTCTCGTTTATTTAAAGGGTTTATTTGCAAAATGATATTTGGTGCATGCTAAAAACTGTAAAAAAAAAAACCCAAACATATTTCGCCTGTATCATTATGTTAGACGTACCTTGAGTTGGACATTTGGGTCTGTTGTTTCAGTATCTGTAATGATATTTATAATATTTTTATACAATCAGTATATTGGCCCCAAAATTCATCGATAAACTGATAATTTCCGACGCGCTCAAATTCATATATGAATCATAATCAAATAGCATTTAGTAACTGGATAGAGTCAAAACAAAAACACACACTTATGGAAAACAGCTACTAGTGTTTAAGGCAACGCTTCGAAGAGTATTCTCTCTACGTTATCAAGCTAATACAGCAATAAAGATATAAGGTAAATATATTTAACATGACCGAAACCGTATGACAACAACTAGATCAAAGGCCCGTGACACAACAGTTATAAGACTGATTATTATAGTTTTTGGTGGCTTGTCTGTTAAATACGACAATTGTGTGGATTAGTTTCTCTTGTGAAACGCCGCTTGCCACAAACCACTTACCAAGTTCGCATTCCAACCGCGGAGGGTAGACCTATCCGGGTAATATGGTAAAGAGGACCCCTTCTAAGTGTTGCCTTCTTCTATGGTTCGAGTTATTGAATAAATACTTACCTTTGAATAAAGGCGGAATATTTTGCCCACAGATTTCCAAGTTGGATAGGTTTCTAGGTATGATGCTATTGTTTTCTCACGATCACCATCAAATGATTGATACAGAATACTGAAAATAAGAAACTGTTGAACTGTTGGACATAACATATGGTTCTCATCATTTACATCTGAACATGATTTCGAAGCAGAGTTAGTGTTCTGCTTCGCCCCTGGAATCTCGGTCAAGTTTACCAATGAAGTAGATTTCAGAAATGACTTTCTTGTGAAAGGTTTATCCATTGAAATTTTGAAGTATTTTTTAAATAGTTTTCTGTTACGGTATTCTTCGGGTAGTAAATTGGGAACTTCTGTAGTCTGTACACCAACCGATTCCACACAATAAAATGGAAAGGGTCTTCGGATGAATTCCAAATGACAAATTGAAATGAGATTACTGTCCAGAAATTTCCATTTTTTGTAACCATAGCTACAAGGATTATCGTGTTGACTGAAATATTCTCGCCAATTTGTCCATACGGTATCTGAGCCGTCTGGGGTGTTGCATAGTTCGAAATATTCCACCTGTCCAAAACAGGAACAGACGGCAAATTTTCGGGATCGATCATCAACTACATAGAATTTAACCCATTGTAAAGGGATTCCATATTGCAGTTGTAGACCATCTAGTTCTAGATCGACGTTAGGTTTGAAAACAGCCTCAGTGAGATTCTCGTAATTAGGAATACGCTGTGTTGCTACAAGCAATTCGTGTTTGGTCATTCCAAGGAAGACATGCCGATAAACTTCACCATTCTCATCAAGTTGAAAACATGGCGATTCTAACACTATATCTGTTAACCCGTCATATTCTTCTACAGCCAACAAATGCTCCAAACGATTCATTATGAAAAATGTTATCTAAATAAACAATTAAATATAGACTACCCGTTCTCCATGCTGATAACATAATCATATGACGTCACAGTAGAAAACCTCCTCGACGTAATGTGAACAATGCTCCCTAACGTATTAATAATTCGTTTTGTTTCGTTTCGCTTCATTTTATTTTCGTTTTAATAAATTTCTCACATTAACCTTGCCATGCTGAACGGCGGGATTTACCGTCGAGTAGGGCCTGCGACAGGGCTCTCGGTGAGGGGATTTGGGTTCTTTCCGTTTGGGCTCGAAAATTTCTGAAAGAAACATGGTCTCTAACTCTAACGTCATTTTAGCGTGTATCTGGGGTAACTGGAGGTCTCGCAGATTTAACACGACATACCCAATACATATTGTGCTACAGTTTAGTTTACTGATGTAATAATAATCAGATGAAGACGGTTTTGACAGACATTTCAAGCAAGCAAACAAATGGAAAAACAAAAACCGTGACCATCAGACGCCAAAATATCAAAAAGAAAGTTTTCTTTGCAACATAAACTATTCGTTATTTTTTTTCTACACCCAAAATCATTTTGAACAGGATTTAAACAGAAGGGGGCCCGTATACTATGACGGTGACAAGAGCAAAGGCCCGGGCATGTGACTTATCGTTTTTAATTCACCAATCTTTCCAAAAATAGTGGACTGGCAGAATCCGATTCTGATCCTACCCACGCCAATAGGTACCCCTATTCACAAGAAAATCATTTCTGAAATCTACTTCATTGGTAAACTTGACCGAGATTCCAGAGGCGAAGCAGAACACTAACCCTGCTTCAAAATCATGTTCAGATGTAAATGATGAGAACCATATGTTATGTCCAACAGTTCAACAGTTTCTTATTTTCAGTATTCTGTATCAATCATGTGATGGTGATCGTGAGAAAACAATAGCATCATACCTAGAAACCTATCCAACTTGGAAATCTGTAGGCAAAATATTCCGCCTTTATTCAAAGGTAAGTACTTATTCAATTACTCAGCTAACCCCGGGCCACTCTAAGCTCTGGGCCCCTGGACAATTGTCCCCCCCCCCCCCGCCCGCTCTGTCAATCATACAAATACGAATAGATAGGTTGACGGCAACATCTCCATATTGGTGTCATATATTCTTTGAGGTTGTTATACGTAATTACTTGTGTTTAGTAATTGTATTTTTATTATTGAAAAGTGAAATGAGCCTTCTAAAACTCGATTGTTATAAACCGTGAATTCTCGTTTATCTCTTATTTGAATATGTTTTCCATTAATGTTGACTTAAATTGACAAATAATAAGTGTTTTCAATGTCGAACATTTTGGATGATACTGAATTAGAACTTAGTTACTTTAACTGTACTGTATGCTTTCCTTCACGTTTCCATGCTTGGCTACTTCTTTTCATCGGCTCTTAAGATACTCTTAAGATATTTTGCTTTCTTGTATATCGAATAAACACAATAAAATTGTCGGTAGATGTATTAATATTTTATTTTATTTGTATCACACATTTCTATACTAGCCGAACAATTCGTTTACTAAGGTCAACTGAACAAAAACAACTTAATTACTATATTATGCAACTATTGAGTTATCAAAAGAATTGCATTTGGGGGATGTTCCATGCAGCTATTGAATTTACAAAAGAAATGAATTTGTGGAATGTAGGCTACTGTTTTTAATCGGAGATGGCGAATATCATAGAATGATAAATGGTTGTTCGCCATTCGTTTTATATAATAATTTTAAAATCCTAGTAGATTGTTTATGCTTTTATTGAAAACACTGACCCATTATCCCTTTTTAATTGTCATGTGTTATTTGAAGCTCCACAGTGTAAACAGGCACCGGTTGTACGTAACAAGGAGTAGGGTCGCCTGTGTAACCTTATGGGTTTTTCTATGGGTCCTCCGGTCCCCCCCCCCCCCACTGCTAAAGACTCTTGCGCGCAAGCGAATTATTGAAATAAAATTGAACCATATGTTAGTCCCGAAATGGGGTGGGTGGGGGGGGGGTGGATGGCCGAATGGTTAGCACGTGCGCGCTCTATCATAAGGTCTGTCATTGAGTCAGCTGGCGTGGTTTCCATTCCTCGGTTGTACGTGTCACGGAGTAGGGTCGCCTGTCCAACATCGTGGGTTTCCCCCGGGTCCTCCGGTTTCCTCCCACTGCTAAAGATCCCTACGCGCAAGCGATTATTGAAATAAAATTGAACCATATTATGTAAGTCCCGAAATGACCTAGTTTGTGTCGAGTGGACGTTAAACCACATCTGTCTCTCTGTCTCGTCCCGAAATGACCTAGTTTGTGTCGAGTGGGCATTAAAACCTATTTCTCTCTCTCTCGTTCACAGCGAAGCGAAAGATAGAGAAACCGACATCTTGTGTAGATGAAAGTGTCACAAGTTCCGTATTCTTAGTAGTATGGTAGTAGTTATTTTCGCATTTTTACTGCAACGAGAATGATGTATGTTCGTTTTGTAGGACAAAGCTAAACTATTTTAGGTGCTTGGTAGCATTACCCCTCGATCAGACATCGTGATTGGACAGAGAATATCGATTTAAAAAAAAACATGGCAAAAAACGAAAACGAATGGCGAATTAGTCTTTGCCATTCGGATGGCGAATATCCTCTGTCATTTTTAATAAATAACTTTCTCTGTATTTTTTGTTACATAGACGGCAAATATAAATAAACTTTAATAGCACACCACAGTTGCGGTTCATTCAAACGGCAATAAGTAAGATTAGATAAACAGTTGACATTTCTCGCTATAAAAGTTAAAAATGAGATAATGAAACGGAAATATGTTGAAAATGTCAGTCAAGTTATTGTCATTCGACTATCCATTTCTAAGGTTATTTCATCAACCGCGCAAAACGTATTTAATTCTACTTAATCGGAAGCATCCGATGTCATCGACCGTTGTTTATGGTCTTGGTAAGTTAATTAATGTCTAGTTAATAATTCATATAAATATAAGGTCCAAAGAAAAACCTACAATAGGCGGTTTGAACTAAACATTAAAGTAACGATACGCCATTTGTTTATTTCGCTTAAATAAATTAAATTTCTATCAGCTTAATCCACCCTAATATGTATACTCAGATTGATTATTTAATATTCAATTAAGTAATGAAAATCAAAATAATTACGCTGGATAATGTCCCGGCTTGGATTTAATCGGATTTTAAAAGGCCTACAAGTGAAATTTCGCGACAAAAAATGACGGCGGGCTTATTACATAGCGAAACAGCAGGGATCGGTGAAATTTAAATTCCACATATCTGTCATATTTCTGAAGCAATGGCCCGAGAAATCCCTCTCTGATCATTGCTGGATTGGCTTCTGATACTTGAGCTTTTGAGGGAGTGTGTTTATTCTTCCCATTCAATCAAATCTTTCCCATGTACAGCAACATGACGGCCCTTCGTTTTATCTGGGGTCTTACCTAAAACTTTGGACAGTGATTTAAAGCTACGTTCCCAGAAAAGTATTTATCGGGTGGTTATTTCCAATAAAAGTATGGCAATTTTGGTATATGGAAAGTACAAATATCTAATATTACTAGAAAAATACTGGA